GATCTGGAAGAGTTTAGAGGGACCCAGAGACAAAGAAGATGGGTTTTCACTCTATATGGAGCGACATATTCTGTAATCATAAAGGTATTTTATGCCCAAGGGAATATGATTCCCATTGCCTGCTCCCTTTGGGTTTCCAATGGCAGACAGTGAGTGGCTGTGTGTTCTTCTTTCATTCAGCTTATAAACTACTTCCCACCACTTACCCTAAGCAGTGTACGCTCTGTCCACAACAACAGTTAAGGCACTACATGGCTCTCATTGCACCGAGGAAACATTTCCCAGCATGGATAATCAGAGTTGCTGCTTTTCACTGCGCTTTCTTCAAAGCAACCCCATGAACATCTCTTAAGCTAAGATTGTGGAGAGATTCATAAAGAATACTGCTGTTTGCCATTGTGTTAAGCCAAGATTAAATACACTTATCACAATATGTGGATCTTGCTTGTGTCATGCTGTAGAATGTGCTTAACCATGGAACATGCATGCAAATGGTAGGCTGGGCCAGAGTAGCTTTACACAAGATGTTTTCTTTTAATAGCCCTCAAACAAAAAGGAAAAAGAGGGGAAATGCAAGCATATGGACCAGTGGTGGGATTCAAACATTTTTACTACTGGTTCTGTGGGCGTGGCAGGGGAGGGATACTGTAGAATCTCCATTCCCTCCCCACTCCAGGAGAAGGTTACTGCAAAATCCTCCTTTCCTCCTGATCAGCTGGAACTCAGGAGGCAGACAATAGATGGGGGCTGTGGTATTTGAGTTCTCCGAACTACTCAAAATTTCCACTACCGGTTCCCCAGAACCTGCTGAATACCACCTCTGGTATGGACCATTTTAAATAAATACCTCCTCTTTAATTTTTAAAATTTGAATAATATGTACTTTCATACAAACCAGCTCTAATCTCTGTCTCTTTCTTTTCTCCCCTAAATAATACAATCTCCTCTGTCCCAGTTTTTCTAAACATTGGCAACTTGAAGATGCATGGACTTCAACTCCCAGAATTCTGGCTGGAGAATTCTGAAAGTTGAAGTCCCCACATCTTCATGTTGCCATGGTGGAAGAGCACTGTTCTATCTTAATTGGCATTTACTGATAGAATGGAGTGTGTGCAAGGGGATGCAAGGAAAGCGGGAGAGATTAAAAAGGAAGTCCTTCAGGAGAGTTCCATCTCTGCTTTGGAGAAAATATATATTTTGTTAAGCTTTCACAGCAAGATCTGGCTTCAAATCCCCAGTCCGCAATAAAGCTTACTGGATGATGTCAAAATTCAACTTTTCTTCTTTTCAAAGTTACTGTGCAAGTAAAATAGGAGAGTTGAAATTAAGCACCCCTGTATACCACTGTGTTAACATTTAAAAAACAACAACACTTTATTCTCTAGAGGAAAATTCTCCCCAAGTAACCACTTGCCATTCAATTGTTAAAATCAGCAATTTGCAAGCAAACCCTAAACACTCCACAGTGTAAAGGCTTATTATGTAGGTATCTTCAGCATTTTAGGAGTCTTGGTCTGGAGAAGTCTGACTGATCATGTTCTGGGATATCCTTTTTAGTTTTTTAGGACTGTGGATAAGACAAGATTATTGTTTTTCTTTGGCCTGTGACAGGAGGCCTCAGACCCTGGTATTGGGCTTGGTACCGGCCCACTGGGAACTGGGCCATGCAAGAAGCGTGCATGCACAAAACCATTCCCTCTCCCCATCCCCACTACCACCGCTACAGGTCCAAAGAGCCAGAAATGTTGGGGACCACTGGCCTATGATATGTACTTTAGATCCTTGTTGATCTAGATCAGTGATGGCGAACCTATGACACGCGTGTCAGTGCTGACATGCGTAGTCATTTGGGGTGACACGCATAGGATTTCATGCGATTCATCCTCGGCTCCTGCACGGCCGCCGAGGATGAAAGAATCTGTGCTGGAGGAATGGGGGGGGACGTGTGATCTCCCCCGCCCACACTCACTTGCCGCCGCCCCTTTCTGAGTGCAGGGGCTGCTGGTAAGGCGTGCGTGCCGTGCGCACACACGTCATCAGCGC